GGACAAGAGAAGATTGGAAAAACGTTGCCTGGTCTGATGAGTCTCGATTTCTGCTGCGACATTCGGATGGTAGGGTCAGAATTTGGTGTCAACAACATGAAAGCATGGATCCATCCTGTCTTGTATCAACGGTTCAGGCTGGTGGTGGTGGTGCAATGGTGTGGGGGATATTTTCCTGGCACACTTTGGGTCCATTAGTACCAACACAACATTGTGTCAACACCACAGCCTACCTGAGAGTTGTTGCTGACCATGTCCATCCCTTTATGACCACAGTGTATTATCTTCTGATGGCTACTTCCAGTAGGATAGCGCTCCATGTTATAAAGCGTGAATCATTACAGACTCGTATTTTGAACTCGACAATGAGTTCACTGTACTGGAATGGCCTCCACAGTCACCAGATCTCAATCCAATAAAGCACCTTTGAGATGTGGTGGAACAGGAGATTCGCATCATGGATGTGCAGCCGACAAATCTGCAGCAACTGTGTGATGCCATCATGTCAGTATGGACCAGACTCACTGAGGAATGTTTCCAGTACCGTGTTGAATCTATGCCACGAAGGATTAAGGCAGTTCTGAGGGCAAAATGGGGTCCAACCTGCCACTAATTAGCAAGGCGTACCTAATAAAGTGGCCGGTGAGTTTAGGTACCAAAACCAGAACCCAATAAGTTTAAATTAAGTTTTTCAGTTGAGGGTCAGGCTAAAATTAAAATTAAATTAATGGAAGTCAATACAAAGTCCTAATACATACAAACTTGTGAGTTTAAAAAAATTACCTTGAGTTGCAAGATCTATTTTAATAAAAATTTTCTTCTTCACTGCAGTTAAGTGTGATTTATTAATCTCGCCAATGAACGCTGCCCTCTGCAGGTAATGAGGATTTAACACAAACGTTTTATGACCTTTAAATTAATCACAACCTTTATAAATATGACCAGTTTTTGATAATTTCTGTAATAAAGTTCAAATGTAAACATATTTTTATTTTAGCTTCAGAGTCTGAATTTTAACAAGACTTCAACTTTAAAGTTTCGAAATTCTTTACAATTCCACTAATTTCATCTATTTCATACTGAAATAAGTTCTTTCACCTTCAGCTGACTCAGATTTAAAGACAATGAGCAAACTGCTGGTGGGGTTGTAGCCAAAAACAATCCCCATCACATGCTGAAAGCTAATTAATTAATTAATTAATTAGCTTCGGGGTGGCTGTGGCAGAGTGGCTAGGGGAGTTGTCCTGGAACCGGAAGGTCACCGGCTCGACCCCCCATCCAGCTGTCTCAGTTGTTGTGTCCCTGGGCAAGATACTTCACCCCAATGCCTCTGATGTGTGTCCCATCAGTGTATAAATGTGACTGGCACTGATTAGTCTCCATAGATGATTGTACATGTTAGCTTTGTAGGAGATCTGGTAGAATGCTGTGTGAATGGGTAAATGAGGACACAGGTTGTAGTGTGAAGCTCTTTGAGTGTCCTGGTTGGGAAGAAAGGCGCTAAGCAAGTACAGTCCATTAACCATAACAAAATGCTAACAAAGCTAACACACGCTGTCCTTCAGTGAGCACTTTCTGCTTTAACTCTAATGGTTGAGATGGTTGCGAAAACTACAGGGGTTAGACAATGAAACTGAAACACCTGGTTTTAGACCACAACATCCCTTTCAGACAGCTTCCTCCTGCGTCCACAGTTAATCCTGTTGGATGTGGTTCATCCTTCTTGGTGGTATGCTGACATTACCCTGGATACTGTGGCTCTTGATACATCACAAAGACTTGCTGTCTTGGTCACAGATGCACCAGCAAGACATGCACCAATAATTTGTCCTCTATTGAACTCTGTGGTATGTCACACATAATTTTGTGTGCATTGCAATAATTTGAGCAAAACTGTGCTCTTACCCTGCTAATTGAACCTTCACACTCTGCTCTTACTGGTGCAATGTGCAATTAATGAAGATTATCCACCAGGCTGGTCCAATTTAGTCATGAAACCTCCCACACTAAAATGACAGGTGTTTCAGTTTCATTGTCCAACCCTTGTAGTTTGAAAGGGCTTTAACCGTTAACTCACTGAGTGTAATAAGCTAAAAATTGGTATAATATTGGTAGCTGAGAGCAACCTCTGTCACATACTGAAGCTGGAAAAAAAATCCAACATAGTGGCCAAAGCTACTTCGGCTACTTTCTGCAAATTTGAGCTTCTTTTGTGTTTCCATTGAACTTGCTTTAAACGTTCAGCGTAAGTGTTCAGCAATAAGCACTCACACTAGGATTTTCACAGGAAATGCAATTTCTCTAGATCCAGTTCCCCGACACAAACAGAGTAATATTGCATATGCTGCTAAGTGTCAGGAGGACTGTGATCAGTCATACAACGGTGAAACAAAACACCCACTGTTCAATAGAATGAACTAGCACAGACGAGCAACATCATCAGGCCAGGACTTTGCAGTTTACACTCATCTACAATCCAGGACTCTACAGTTTACACTCATCTACAGGCCAGGACTCTGCAGTTTACACTCATCAACAGGCCAGGACTCTGCAATTTACACTCATCTATAGGCCAGGACTCTGCAGTTTACACTCATCAACAGGCCAGGACTCTACAGTTTACACTCATCTACAGGCCAGGACTCTTCAGTTTACACTCTTCAACAGGCCAAGACTCTGCAGTTTACACTCATCAACAGGCCAGGACTCTGCAGTTTACACTCATCAACAGGCCAGGACTCTACAGTTTACACTCATCTATAGGCCAGGACTCTTCAGTTTACACTCTTCAACAGGCCAAGACTCTGCAGTTTACACTCATCAACAGGCCAGGACTCTGCAGTTTATACTCATCCACAGGTCAGGACTCTGCAGTTTACACTCATCTACAGATCAGCTGTTACTCTTTCAGGGATGAAGATGTTCTCATCCTTGATAGAGAGGAACATTGGTTTGAGAGAGGAGTAAAGGAAGCCATCTTTGTGAAGAAAAAACCGTCCACCATTAAATAGAGGTGGAGGCCTTCATGTCCAGTTGTCCTCCTCCTACAATGCTGTTATTGCAAGTATGACTCAGCTCCCTGTGAGCAAAAGGTGTGAATCAGGGCCCCATTGATAAGCAGGTGATGGGTCACATGACCCTCCACGAATAATAGAGCCAATCAAACCACTAATGACCAATTGTTTGGCTGATGGTCCTCTTACACCTGTGACTAAATCCTGTTTGTCCAGGTGGAGGCAGGGATTATAAGGCTGAGTTCACCTGAAACTCATCAGACTGAAGAAGTCTCTTGGAGGAGAGATGAAATGTTTCACTAAAGAAGAACCCATCCAAAATGACTTTACCAGACAAGTGGCTAAAATGACACGCGTTTTAATCTGACAAACTTTCAAAATAGCAAGAAGGGTTAGTGTTTACAAATAAAAGACAACAAAATTAGACAAACACTTTTAAATGTTTTATCTAATATTCCAAAACTGTAAATTCTTGGGTTTTCTATGATTGCGGAATACTTCTGTAACAAAGGAAAGACTAATGTGAGTTAAAATGATTATTCAATAAAAATAAATGTCATATGTTAATGTATTGAAATTTGAGGAGCTGTAGAAACCAGCTGATTGACAGGTAGATGTCCCCATGGCAACAGGGATGACTGATGTTTGATTTCTTTTTCAGGGAATATGACTGCAAACACCACAGAAGAAGATTTATGGTAAACGACTCCGAGCATTGGCCAATCAGCTTGCTCCTCATCGGGGGCCGAGCAGCAGGAGTCCAGAGTCCAAACTGAGCGTCTTTTTGACAAAAGAGGACACATCTCTGTAAAATAATCTAACAGATACTGACAGGTTGGTTCTGTGGGTTTTTGTTAAATAAAAACAAACACAGAGATCACTTCAAATTGACAAAATAAGAAAACAAAAGATTAAAAATCATTAGTTCAACAGAATTATTTACAAAAAACTAAGTGAACATGCAGAACAGGAAGCTGAGTCTCACAGAGAGTCCCATACTTGTGATTTTATTCATTTTTTTCCATTTTCTTTTATTGTCAGTTTAGTGATGTTTGTGGTTTTTTGTTTATTAATGAAAAAGAAACGTGTCTTTTTTATGTTTGTGTACTTATGGTGAAAAAATCAGAAAACTGTATTTAGAACTGAAACAGAAACAAATATATTTTAGTTGACTGAAGAAAGTTTATTGGTTTTATTGACTAATCCTATTCTGTCTGAAAAGGAAACTATTTCTCAGTTCATAAATTTAACTTAACAGTCAGAGAAATGGACAATAACGTCAATCAATTCAGGTTTAATTTACTTTTATCTAAATAAATCTTCCGATATGAGAAGAAAATTAGTTGTTTATTGAAGCTTTTGTTGCAGCAGAACTGGCGTCGTTGTGGTGGGTGGGTTCTTTTTGGTGCTCTCCACCCAGTCCACAAACTTGGCCATGTTAGCGTACATGTCATAATATCCCGGGTGTGTGCAACCACGCCCCCAGCCAACCACACCCATCAGAAAGTGGGCATGGCCATACTTGGTGACCAGTGGGCTGCCGTCGTCTCCACGGCAGCTCTCCTGTTTGCCCTCCAGGTATCCGGCACACAGCATGTTGTCGGTGAAGTTGAACCCGGCTTTCTGGGAGCACTGGGAGTTTGGGATGATGGGGACGGCCATCTTGCGGMGGATGGGGGACACCGGAGCCCCCGGCGAGGTGTTGGCGTTGCCCCCAGACGTCCTCTTGCCCCAGCCGGACAAGAAGTGGTATCGAACCGGTAGGAGTTCCCTCTCTGCCAGGTCTTTGGTGGGAAGGCAGACTGGAATGGCGTACCGGTTTAACGTGACGGAGCGGTTCAACCGGAGCAGGGCGACGTCACTGTCGCCACTCACCGGATTGTAACTCTCATGGGAAATGGCCATGGAAACGGGAATCCTTTGCTCTGTGTTCTCTTCAACGTCAATGTTATGATCCCCTGGAGAGAAATGTCAGAGTTACTAAACTATTTAAACAATTTACAAAACAACTTATGGATTAAATGTTGTTAAAGTTTAAAAAAAACTAAGTTTGACTAACAGACAAGTAAAAATAGTTTTAAAAATTAAATTCTATAAACAAATAAAACGTACTCAAGTTGAATGTAAACAATACACTGTGGTGGGTCAGCTAACTCTCTAATATGCTTCATGATCATAATATAACATGAGAGAAAACACTGAAATCTGATTCTAACTCTGGCTCAGCTTTAATAAACTTGAAATGCTTCCACAGAAAGAAAATACAAAAGGCCAATTTTTTTTATCCAAAACATACACATAAACAAAGAAACCTAAATAATCCCCAAAAGTTCTGGGAGACCGTCAAATCTCTAAATATATATGTATATATATATACAGTATATATA